TAGAGGAGGTCAGAGGACATAACATGGTAGAGTTAATGGAACTCGGGTCACCACACTTGCACAGCAAGTTCCTTTACCCTGTGTGCCATCTTGGCCTCACCACCTTTTGACTAATCCTCCAAAAGCATCCAGTAAGGAAGTGCCTGGTATCTTGGGTCCTGGGACCCTCCCTCTGTGGGAGCCCTGGCAGTGCCCCTGCTTCCAGCCAGTTCCTGTAGATTCAGCCAGCCCCTTTGCTGTGTCAGACACTCCAGCACTTTGTGTGCAGAGAGCTCTCAGACAGGTGCAGCTGTCTAGGAGATGATGAAGCTTGGTTCCTTCCTGCCCCTTGTTTCTAACAGCTGGAAGCTGAAGCCACTCACCGTGTCATCACCATTGCAAACAGGGTAAGTAGCCCATCTCCACACTGGAAGCACAACCTTGTTTCATTCTGCTCTGGGGGCCAGTGCCACAAGTGACCCCCAAACCCCAGCCCTGCTAGCTGAATGTATGCTGCTCCCCTAGTTCCGGCATGTATCCTGCCTACCCCCAGCTCTCAGTTCTACTCCTGTGAGCTCATGAATTGCTGAAGCTGAGATTTGTTGCTTGAGTATAAGTGGCTTAGAAAACCATACTTTAAACCTATGCTTTCTGGGCCTTTGTTTTCAAACTTCTTTCCTTGGTTTGATTTAGGTAAAGCCCTTAATAAGACACTGGTGGAATGTGGTGGGAATCAGTAAGAGACGGCACCAGAAATGAGAACCTTGTCCTTTATCTAATAAATAATGTTTTGACCACATGCACATCACACCACCCTCTGATCCACTATTTCATTATAAAATCAGAGTGATAGTTTCACTTACTTTACACTGGACAGTTGCTGAGGCTCAAAGGAGCTAAAGGAAGGGGAAGTACTTTATACAGTGGAAAAGTTATCCCTTCTGCAGGATGTCACTGAAGTGTTTGAGTTGCACAGATAAACTAAACTACCAGCTCAAGAAGGATCAGAATTAGAGACTGGGGCCAGGTCTGGAATTAAAGGACACACACCTTTAATTCTAGCACTTAGGAGGCAGAGGCAGGTGGATCTTTGTGAGTTTGAGTCCAGCCTGGTCTACATAGTGAGTTCCAGGCCAGCTGGGGCTACAGGGAGACCACGTCTCAAAAAACAAACAAACAAAGAGCCTGGGAAGTGCAAGCTCTCAGGCCCCAGAGGGGCCCACTAAATTCAAATTGGAATGATGCCCAGCAGTCTGTACTTAGAAGCCCCTCAGTGATTCTAGTGGGGGCTCAAGCTTGGGACCCTACCCTCTGGGATGACTGGGGCTTCCTGGAAGGATGCAAGCATAGAGGTATAGTTTTAGGAATGTGGGGTACAGAGGCTGCAGGTCAGCCAACCCTAGAATTAATCAACTCATACTAGGCACATGAGAGCCCAAGCTAGTTCCTAAACTCATCTATCCTCCTAGCTTGATAAACAGAGGTGTCAGGATAACATCTGGGGAAAGTTTTCCATTAGCTCTTTGGCGTCTAGAAATTATTCCATTGTTATGGCAACCAAATACTTCCTAATGAAAATTTCCCTCACAGTTAAGAAAGGTCTGGCCCAGAGAAGTTAGCCATGGAAGTTAGCCATTCTGTCTGTTGATAAGATGGCATTTAGACCACAGGCATCAAAATTTCAGGTAGAAGCTATAATACATGACTGTCTCTGGGTCAGCTGGTTTATGAACAGGAAAATAAAACAGTAAACACTCATGAGATGCAAGAAAACATTAGGTTCAGTCTCAGTAGCCTCAACTCAGTTGCCTCCTTGGTTGGTGGGCTCCAGTGCTGGCTGCTGGCTGCTGCAGCCTGGTGTTATGTGCAACCCACCAGTCCTGCATCCCTAGCATGAAACTGTTACTTAGTGTTGGCAGTGAGCTACGTAAAGGGATGTGTTGGTGCAAGACTGACGGTGGGGAGGTTTGGGTGGTGATAACTCTGTGGACTGTGTTGCTACTTCCTGCTCTTGTCTCTTGTGTTTAGACTCACTGTCCCATCTACCTGGTCAATGTGTCCAGCATTTCGGCTGGTGATGTAATCGCGTCTGCTAAGATGCAAGGTGAGACCCTGGTTTGGGCAGACAGTGTGTGTTATGCAGTGGGATCAAAGGATGGGATCTACCAGTGGACACTCTCCCAAGCTTGGCTGCTGAGACCAGACCCCGAGGAGCCCACCTTTCCGATTTCTCTGCAACTGTCTGCCTCAGAGTGCCCTAGCCTGGGCTCAGTTTGTGAGAACCAGTCTTCCTCCTCACATTTGTATAACAGCATTCCCGTAATGTCTGTTACCTTAACCGGGTCAAGTAAAATTATCTAAGTGTCTTTCTGGCCAATAGGGTTGACTAATGGTTACCTTTACAACAAACAAAACCCTAAGCCAGTTTCATTGGGCATGTTGGTGGCTGTGAAAGTCCCTGGAGAAATAAGAATGTAAGCCCAGCTTTCCTGTCTAGCCACACCTGAACCCTGTGTCTGACCCCAGGGTGGGGTGACTTGTGTGGCTTGCGTGACTCCCAGTGTAGATCCCTGGCACTGCTGAGGCTTTCTAGTTGCCAGTAGCCTAACCCAGTGCAGGGTACTGGTGAAGGCCTGGTAATAGGAGAAATAAAGTCAGGGTAGCGCCCTGGGGGTGTAAGTCAGAATCAAGGGCAACCCATCCTTTATGCCATTTTGCCTTCTGAGCCCACCTCCTGCCTCTCCCCTGGGTGAGGCCTTTCATGGGGTCCCAGCTGGACTGTTGGCTCAGCCTGCTAATGGGCCCCTCTCCTGTCCTCTTGCCCTCAGGATATGCTCTGAATCCCACTTCAGCAGTTCTCCCAAGATCAGTCACAGCATTTGCCTGCTCAGAAAATAGGCTGGGCTACCCACTAGACCTGGCACTGCACACTTGCCCCACTATCACCCTACCTCACTCCCCACAGCTACCTGCACACAGCCAGGCCAAACTAGACTCCCAAAAGCGCCCTTCTCTGCCCCCTGGCCTCAGAGCCAGTGCCTTTCTCTATCCCCTGCCCAGGGTCAGCAGAAGAATAAGAAAGTCTCTGGGCTTAAACCCAGACATGCTTTTACATGCCTGAACAAGCTTGGGCAGGTCTTTTCCTGTTTGCCTTCAACTCTTTCACCTGTAAAGTGAGACACAGCCCAGTCGTCTCTCAGGCCAGGAGCTTCTTAGTTACTCTTTTAAACTCTCCTTCCAGGGAAAGTGGTGCTGGCTGAGACCACCACCGCACATGCCACACTGACAGGCCTGCACTACTATCACCAGGACTGGTCCCACGCAGCCGCCTACGTCACGGTGCCTCCTCTGAGACTAGACACCAACACCTCCACCTACCTCATGAGCCTGCTGGCCAAGTAAGGTGTTTCAGCAGGACAGTACACCACTGGCACATGGTGCACACCACACAGGGCTGTAGGTCTTTAAAATGTCCCAAAGGACCCAGAAACACTTCTAACCTAGATTTGGTTTTGTTGTGCCTACAGAATGAGTTTGTCTAGAATCCAGCAGTTACTTGGCATTCTGTTAGATTTGGAGTGGGAAGAGCATTGATCAGCATTTCAAAGGACATTGCAACCTCACTCTGAAGTTCAGTGGGGAGTTGGGGGATGGGACCTGACATCATTGTTCAATTTTGTGTGGTCTCATCTCTTCCTAACAGCATTAATTAACTTTAATTGTTGCTGTGACAAAATACCTGGCAGAAATGACTTAAGGAAAGAAGGGTTGATTTGGGCCCACAGTTTTAAGAGAGTTCAGTCAGCATGGTGGTGGAAGTGTGCTGCTGAGACTCCTCACATCTCAGTGGATCTGGAGGCTGAGGGCAGGGGAACATTAACACTTACCTGGCTTTCTTTTCGTCTTATAAATATATTGAGTTCAAAACCCCCACCCTTAAGATGGTGCATCCCATATTCTCAGTTAATCCTCTCTAGAAAACCCCTCACGGAGACACCCACGTGCGTGCCTCACTAATACCCTAGACAGTTCTTAATCCAGTCAAGCTGACATAGATTCTAGCCCCTCTCCTTGCTCTTCCCATAGCCTCATGTGGATTTCTCTCTCCTTGTGTGCACCTTTCTGCATCTATATGCAACCTCCTCCTTTCTGTCCTGTTTCCCTCTTTGCTCTTACACCCTCCCTTCAGATCCCCATTCTCCAACTCCTGCCTGTCTAATGCTCAACCCCAGTCTAAAGAAAGTGATCTAAGGAACAAGCACAGTCTGGCCCGGCACAATCATGAAAGGTTTGGTTTTGTCTCAGTGACAGCTTGCAGCTTCTTGAGCCCCTGAGAGTGACAACATGGGGAGAAGACATTGCTTTCTCTTCTCTTCTGGTCATTAAAGTCCCATCCAAGCCAGTGTGGTGGCACACACCTTTAATCTCAGCATTTGAGAGGCAGAGGCAGACGGATCTCTGTGAGATCGAGGCCAGCCTGGTCTACATAGAAAGTTCCAGACTAGCTGAGGCTATAGGAAGACCCTGTCTCAAAAAAGACTAAATAAAGTCCTGTCCAGTGCAAAGTCAGGCTCCCTCCCCCCAGTCTCCAAGCTCTGCTCATGCTGGGATAGGTGGAGGAGGAAGAAAGGTGAAGGCCTCTTCCAAAAACCCAAGCATGTTTCCTGGTCAGCCTTCAGCATCAACAATGATACTGACAAGGCAGCTTATACCAGGCCACCTTCTACAGTGTCCCAGCCCACAGGAAGCTCCTGGGTGTTGGCCATCCCTACAGTGAGAGGACAGGCTGGACCACCCCCTTGTTTCACCCAGAACTTGGAGGTAAGGCCATCTGCTGCCCTAGAAGGTGCCCGCTGCTGTCACCTCTGCTCTCTTGAAGTGTCACAATAAATAAAGTGGCGTGCTCTTAAAGAAAACACTTGTTGGTAAATTTTAGCTTCTACATGCATGCAAACTCATGTGTACCCACACACATACAAACATGCACACCATACATACATGCATGCAATATACACATATATAGATCTATATCGAGTGTGTGTGTGTGTGTGTGTATATATAAAAAAAAACTGTTTTAACGGTCTGAGAATCCTTTAAAATTCTCCACTTACTACAAGGAAATTTATTAAAGGAACAAAAATAGCATTTCTGTCCACCCAGATTCAAGTAGACAAGAAAAAGAATGAATCATTAATTGAATAATTTAAGTTCTTATGTCTAGCCTATTTTGTTCCATTTTAATTATTTAAATAAATTCTCATTTAGGAATTGTGATTTCATGTGATAGAAGAATAGTTAGAATCCCTTTTTAATCAGTGCACATTGTAATGTGTGTCATTTTATAGGATTCAGAGCATAAACTATTTATAGGAAATTATGATTACTATAATTTTCTTCTATACACATTATTGGTATAATTTATATGATGTAAAATGCTAGAAAGAAAACACAGACACAAATTACCCTTCCTACAAGGGAACCTGAATTATTTACTTTATGATACAATTTTTCAGGTTAAACAGGAATAAAAAGTGCAATCTATATATTTGTCTTTTATTTAAAAATTTGGCTTCTTAGGCCAGCACGATGGCTCAGTGGGTAAAGGTGCTTGCCACCGAGCCTGACGACCTGAGTTCCATCCCCAGAACCCACATAGTGGAAAAAGAGAACCAATTCCCACAAAAGGTGTCTTCTAACTTCCACAGATATGCACACAGACACAGGCATGCATGTACACTAAATAAATAAATAAATAAATAAATAAATAAATAAATAAATAAATAAATAAATGTGAAAAATTAAATCAATGTCTGACTTCTTAAAGGAACCAGAATTTTCCACTTGAACATGTAAAATGTGCCATACTTGACAAAGCCAGCCTAATTTTAAATTTTAGACTGGGGAGATGACTCAGCAGGTAAAGGCACCTGCTGTGGAGCCTCATGAACCCACATTTGATCTCTGGGACTCCCATGTTGAAAGGAGACCACTGTCTCCTGAAAGTTGCTTCTGACCTCCACGCTCGTGCTGTGGCACTCATGTCCATGCACATACACATACACAATTAACTAATCAATTAATTAAACACTTTAATGTTTTTATTTTAAAGCATTTGGGTATTTTCTTTCTCTCAGATTCAGGGCAGCACTTAGGGACCTCAGAAGTCCTAGGTGACCCCACCCCACCCCATTCATTCATACCTACTTCTAAGGAAGTCAAAGGCTCAGAGGGAGTTGAGGCCGAGGTGCAGGTCCCAGGCCTACAGTCCATGATCTTTGTGATGGGGACCTCCTCTAATATGAGTCCCACCTAGGTGTCTGGAGGCCTCTTAGATCCTATCATTTCTTGTGGGTTCTGCAGGTGTGGGGAGGTTGTGGGGAGCCCAGGGTGCTCTTAACACTGCTGGTCCGTGGAAGGGTCTCTCCTCCTGGCTCTGCAGCCAAGTGGAAGGTCAGCCCGGCCACAGGGAGAGCTGAGTCATCTTCCTGTGGACTTGCCAGAGACTGATGAACTTATCAGGCCCCAGGGATGACAGTCCTTTGTCAGTCTGGCTGGGAACTGTCCATCAGCCTCAGCATCTGCCTCCTGACCACATCACAGGAGCTGTTCTGCTCTGTTTCCCTTCTGAGTGGGTGGAATGTGAAACTCCTGTGGCTGACCCTCAGGGTCCCGGCAGGTGCTCCCAGCAGTTGTCCCTGATCCTATGTGATCCCCCAACTGCAGTCTGGTCATCCTGAGATGGTTCTGCCCTGGTGGCATGGACATCCTCACCTCTGCCCTGCCTTGTACAGAGATCTCTGAACATGACAGAGATCTTTGGCAGAAGGCAAGCCGCCATATCTTGTCCTAAATCTTAGCTGGTCCTGGATCTCCCTGAGGACCTGGTTGCACCTTAGCCACCCACAGCCCCACTAACCTTCTGAGGCCCTGGTCACAGATGGCACTGAAAACAAGTCAATTGGCTTCCAGACAGTGGTAGCTGATTAAAGTCAGACTGTCTTGGCCCTTCCCTTTAGGCAATGAGGCTCCCATTGAACTTGGGAATGCTTCATCAAGCACCTGCTTGTGACTAGCAGGGACAGTGGGGAGGGCAGAGGACTGATAAAAATAGGGTGGAATGTGATTCCTTGATATTAAGACCACTTATACCACCATCTCACCCCCAGCTAAACCCTAAATGGTGGGCAGGTGCTTTCTTCCCACTTTCTTGAAAATTGCCACTCTTACTGGAATCTTCTGGAGCATACTCTGCACATATGCCCTATATGTACATATTGGTAGATAAACTGAGGTTCATTTAGATGAAATAACGCACTAGAGGTCACACAGCTACTAAGTGGCAGGGCCAAGATTAGAAATGGATTTGTGCCAGGCTGGTGGTGCACGCCTTTAATCCCAGCACTTGGGAGGCAGAGGCAGGGGGGGCTCTCTTAGGTGACGGGCAGCCCGGGCTTTATGGGGGGGTTCTGGGTTACAGGGGGGAAACGGGGACACTGTCTCCAAAAAAAACAAAAAAAAAAAAAAAAAAATGGATCCATTAGGTTCCCAAGCCCAGGCTTTCCCCAATACCTATCCCTACCCCCAAGACCTCAACTTCCTGTCCCCTCACTGGTCACTTCTCTCTCCCCCCAGTGACACTCTGAACATTGTGGCGTCAGATCACCGGCCTTTCACCACAAAGCAGAAAGCTATGGGCAAGGAAGACTTCACCAAGATCCCTCACGGTGTGAGTGGCGTACAAGACCGAATGAGTGTCATCTGGGAGAGAGGAGTGGTAGGTGTCCTGAAGCCCAACCCATTTTCTCCCAGTGAAAGTCTTTTTTTTTTAATTTTTAAAATTACATTTATTTGATTTACCTGTTTGTGTGTACACACACATCACCGTGCACATATGAAGGTCAGAGGACGACTTTCAGGAGTTAGTTCTCTCCTTCCACCATGTGGGTTCTGGGGTTCAAACTCACGCCATCAGACTTGATAGCAAGCACCACTGAGCCATCTCACCAGCTCCCAGCACTACCATACACCCACAATTTAAAAATTGTATCTCAGGGCTAGAGAGATGGCACAGTGGTTAAGAACACTGGCTGTTCTTACAGAGGACCTGAGTTCAATTCCCAGCACCCACATGGCGTCTAACAACTGTCCATAACTTCAGTTCCAGGGGATCTGACACCCTCTTCTGACCTCCCACAGGTATTGTACAACATGGGTGCACTTACATGCACACAATACACTCATACATATTTTGGTATATTTCTTTCTAGTTCAGTAGTGCACCATACTTTTGGGGGGCTTTTTGAGGCCAGGTCATGCTGTGGAGACCAGGCTTGACCTTGAACTTGCAGCAGTCCTGCTTCAGTCTCCCAGTGCTGGGATAACAGGTGCGAGCCCCTACACTTGGCTACCACACAGTATTTTCATATTTTCATAAAGATGTGATCATCTTTTTTCTTCATATTTTAAGACCTTGAATGTCTTCTTAGAACACCACAAAATTCTTTATATTTTAATTTATTTTCAGTGCCAGGGATCTAGCCCAGTTCCTCGTAGATGCTAGGCAGGAGCTACCACTGCCTACATCCCTAAGCTCAAAACATCCTTTTTTAAAAAAAATACTTTATTATTTTTATTTTATATGTACAAGTATATTGCCTGCATGTATGTGAGTGCACCCATGTCATGCAATGCCACGGAGGTCAGAAAAGGGCTTCAGATTCCCCTGGAATGTTGTAGCTGCAATGTTGGTGCTGGTAATCAAACCCAGGTCCTCTGCAAGAGCAGTCTGTCCTGTTAACCACTAAGCCATCTCTCCAGCTCCTCAAAACATCCTTTTTGATTGTTGAATAATAGTCCCTCCATAGGAAATACTATATTTAATTCTTCCATTGAAACTTTTAGCTATTTCCAGTTTTCACACTTCGAATGATGCTGTAGAGAACTCCTTATTTGTGAATATGTCCGCATTTCTAATTACTTCCTTAGGACATATTCCTAGAAGGTAATTTTTGGATCAAGGGATAAGAACGTATTTTAAATTCCAAGTATATTTTGTCTAATTGAATTTCCAAAAAGATAGGAATTGGGATTTCATTTGAATACCACCTGTTCTGCTCATGGAGAATAAGTATTTCTGGTCTTGATCTATCATGGGATATACTTTCTACTAGTTACTTTCTATTGCTGTGATGAAACACTGACCAAAACCAACTTGGGGAAGAAAGTTTATTCGGCTTACACATCCTGATCACAGTTCATCATTGAGGGAATCCAGGGCAGGAACCTGGAGGCAGGCACTGAAGCAGAATCAATGGAGGAATGCTGTTTACAGGCATGTGTCCCTGGCTTGCTCAGTTATTTTATGTGTTTGAGTGTACTGTCTGCATGTATGTAAGTGCACCCATGTCCTGTAATGCCTACAGAGGTCAGAAGAGGGCATCAGATCCCCTGGAACTGGAGTTACAGATGGTTCTTAGCTGCCATGTGAATGCTGGGAATTGAACCTCTGCAAGAGGTTCCTCTGCAAGAGCATCCAGTGCTCTTAACTACTGAGCCATCTCCCCAGCCCCTCAGCTACTTTTCTTATACACCAGTCCCACCTGCCCAGGGATGGTACTGCCTACAGTGGGGTCAGGCCCTCCTATATCAATTAGCAATTGAGAAAACGCCTCATAGCTACAGGTAATTCTGATGGAAGAAATTCCTCAGTTAAAGTTTCCTCTTCCTAAGTATGTCAAGTTGACAACTGAAACTTAAGTAAATAACACTCAACACACAATATGAGTCCATAGAGATTTGAAATCACGAAAATTAAGCCCTGGGCTCAGGGAGAGGCTAGGAGATGGATCAGAGCTTGTCCGTTGAGTAGAGGCATGTGGCTCTCTAGGATGGGGAGCTACTCTTTCAGAGCTTGGAATGTACATTAGCCACCCCCCAACCCCCACAGTTTCACTCAGTGTTCAAATATTATATGGAAAATTCTAGAAATAATTTGTAAGAGAATTTTAGGGGTTTATTTGTTTGAAACAGGATTTCCCACTCTACCCCAGGCTAGCCTAGAACTGTAGCCCAGGCTGACCTTAAACTCACAGCAATTCTCTCCTGCCTTAGCTTCCTTACAGCTAAGATTACTGTCTTAGGTCACCGCTCCCAGCATTGTAAGTTTTAAATAACTTTTATCATAGTGTGTTGTTAAAATCATTCTATTGTAGTAGCTGTTCTTAGTCTTCCTCTGTGTCTAACTTATGAATGAAACTTGATCATGGGTGTATATGTATAGAAAGACAGCATAGTGTGTCTAAGGCTCAGTTCTGCCTGGGTTTTTGGCATCCAGTGGGGACCTTGACAGAATCCTCACAGACATGGGGAGAATTAAGTTTTTGCATGTGAAGGGAGGTTCCTGAATCATCCCTAGTGGACACATGACTAGAGCTGGCCTTTGAGGTTACATTAGAGGCAGGCAACATTTGGTACAAGTCACTGGTGGCTGGACAGGGAAGAAAGAAACAAGTGAGCTCCCAAGCTCTGCTGATTGACTCATCTGAGACAATGCCCACAGCACTGTCGTCTTTTGGATCACAGTTGTGACCATCTGAGCTAAAGGGCCATAGGCTGGGTGGCAGCTGCCTGCAGAGGGAGGTACATGCCAAGAACCTGGCTGATTTGACACTTCTAACATGTTTCAGGTTGGAGGAAAGATGGATGAGAACCGTTTCGTGGCTGTCACCAGTTCTAATGCAGCCAAGATTCTCAACCTGTATCCCCGAAAGGGCCGCATCATTCCTGGAGCCGATGCTGACGTAGTGGTGTGGGACCCAGAAGCCACAAAGTAAAAACTGCTGCTAGTCTCTTGGGATTTTCTAAAAAATATTTTATTTTTATTTTATGTGTATGAGTGTATTTCCAGTATGCATGTGAGTGCACCTGTGTTGTGCAGTGCCACGGAAGTCAGAAGAAGGCTTCGGATTCCCCTGGAACAGAGTTAAGGACCATTCATAGCCACCATGTGGGTGCTGGGAATCGATCCCGGGTTTCTGCAAGAGCAACCAGTGCTCTTAACCACTGAGCCATCTCTCCAGCCCTGTCTCCTGGGATTTTTAAGATGTTATATTACAGAACTGCAAAGTCATATAATCTTTGAACTACTTCAAGTGAAGAAGTGTGATCATGGCTGTCTTCCAGCCATCCTTACATGGTCTTTCCTTTGTTCCCATGCCTGGTGCCTCTGTCCTCTCTTCTAATGACACCAGTTGGATTAGAACAGAACACAACAATCTGACCTCCTTTTGCCTTAATTACCCCACTAAAGGCCCTTTGTCCAAACATGGCCCCATTCTGAGATGCTGGGGGTGAGGACTTCAACAAAGGAATTTTTAAGGGATGGAATTCAGCCTGTATCAGCCAGCCCTGGACACCATCCCTTCCCATTGGGCATCATCCCTTTCCATACAGCTGTGCCATCTTTCTCTGTACTCAGAACCTCCTGTCCTATCCTTGTCTCCCACCAGGACCATCTCAGCCAGCACCCAGGTGCAGGGTGGAGACTTTAACCTATATGAGAATATGCGCTGCCATGGCGTGCCACTGGTCACCATCAGCAGAGGACGTGTTGTGTATGAAAATGGTGTCTTCATGTGTGCAGAGGGCACTGGCAAGTTCTGTCCTCTGCGGTCTTTCCCAGATACGGTCTATAAGAAGATGGTGCAGAGAGAGAAGGTATGGTGGGGCTGAGAGGAAGATGTGTGGGAAGAGTTTGAAGCCCTTTTTGGGGGGTATGTTCCCTTTCCCCCTTTAACTATCTGGCATCCTCATGCTGTGTATTAGCTATTTTTGCATCACTGTGACCAGAATACCTGAAAAAAACAAGTTAAGAGAGGAAAGGGCAATCTTGACTCAAAGTTTCAGAAGTGTTAACCTGACAGAGCAGTTTATGGCAGTGGGAGCGTGCAGTGCGACTGTTCACATGCAGCAGATGGGGACAAAGTCAGCTTTCCAGAACCAGGGGCTTGCTAATGACCTTCGACTGTTCACACCAGTCACCTCCTTCTGCCAGACAGGTCCCATCTACTGAAGAGTCCAGGGCCCCCAGTCAAGGAGCAAGCATTCAGAACAAGACTATGGGAGACATTTCAGATTAAACACATGATACTGTTTTTCCTCTGAATGCTATTGTCATCCATCCAGTGTTCAGAGTGTGTGATGGGAGAATGGGAATAGTGGAGTCAGAAAATGCTAGTTTCCACTCCTCATCTTCATGTGTATGTGTGCACATAAGTGCAGGTGCCCCTGATGACCTTAGGCTTTGGATCCCCCTTGAGCTGGCATTACAGGGGTTTATGAGCTACCTGACAAGGGTGCTGGGAACCAAACTCCAGTTCTCTACAAGAGCAGTACACACTCTTACAGCTGACATCTCTCCAGCCTGAGCAGACAAAATTTAAATGAGCAAGCAAATGAAGAGACTGAATTCTCAAAGACATGAGAAGGAAACTTGAGCATGTCTGTGACCTGAGGCTCTCCTGATATGCAGGCTGAGGGCCTCTGAGTGAGGGCCATTGCTTGGCTCCTTCCCACTCTTGCTACAGCTAAGGAGGCAGAGAACTAGTATGAAAAACTGGTACTGGAAAGGTATTATCCAAAGCCCATGAGTAAACAGGTCCATTAGCACCAAAGATCAGAGCTCCTGGCAAGCTCCCCACTGACCAGGGCCCTGAACTCCCAGTCACTAAAGCCTTTCTGTCCAGACGCCACAAAGCCAAGGCATCCAACCCAGATCTGCTCTGAAGAAGCAGGACTGGGAGTGCTGGAAGAAAGGTGGGAGTTTGTTATCACAGTGATGAATTCAAGTACCAGCTCTGGGTCTCTCACCAAGGCAGGGGAATGGCCCTAACTCCAAGTGTTCACATTTCCAGTCCTCAGATACAGACAGTGGGCAGAAGGCCTCAGCCTTCCCTCTAGAGGAAGTGCCAGGAAGAGCTCTGAGAGCAGTGTATTCACATGTAAGATTCTCTGACAAAGGCAGGCTATAATCAAAACGTGGAAAATGAAATGCATGGGTGAAGATGTGGAAAATTGGAGCTCTCATTCACTGATGGAAGGAATATAAAGTGGTATGACCTCTGTGAAGACAGTTTGGCAGTTTCTGGAAAGAAAAAAAAAAGAGTCAGCATATGACCCAGCAATCACACCCTCAACTATATATACCCCAGACACAATAAAGGCATATCTGCCCAGAAATACATGCATGATTATTAATGGTAGCTCTAGTAGAAACAGCCTAAATGCCCGTCAGCTGTTAAATAGGTAAACCCCGTTGTGGTATATCCATTCACTAGAGTTATCATTCAGTCATAAAAAGGAGTAAAGTACTGATAAACACTGTAAAATCCAGATAAATCTTGAAATCATTTTCTATCTGAAAAAGCCAGGCACTAAAGATGAAATACAATATATGATTACATTTGCATGAAGTGTCCAGAACAGCAAATTCATAAAAAGGAGATTAGTTCAGGAGCGGGAGAACGAAAGGCATATTAAGTGTTTGAGGTTTCCTTGGTGGGTAATGAAATTCTTTGGAATTGGACATTGACAGTGGTGGCACAACCTTATGACTATGTCAAAACCCACTGAATTCTGTGCTTAACTGTGCCTTTTGTGGTATGCTAATTGTATCAATTTGAAAAAATATGTAGCAATTATTTTAAAAGAATTACTCAGGAACTAGGGCAGAGAAGAATGCCTCAAGCTTCTAAGGCCCAGCCTCACAGGACATTAGATAAATGTCAGTTCCCAGGACCCCACTGCTATGGAGAGCACCTGTCCAGACTCCAGAAGGAAACTGCCCAAAGCCCCTGAGCAGAAAGAAGGCTGGTGACCAAACCAGGAATGAGTTGTCTGAAAAAGGTGCAGACTGTGTACTTGGCAGTTCACTCCACAGGATGAAACCCTGCTCATCCTAGGAAAGGGAGGAGCTGGAAAGGGACCTCTGGTTCTTGAAGACATTCCTGCAGTCTCATGAATCAACACCTGCTCAGAGAGCCCTGACAATCAGCTGTCAAGAGTGAGTTGCTGACTGTGTGAAGACCTACTTGGACCACTGAGTCCTTAACACTCAAACGAAGGAGCCTGAACTTCCATCACAGGCCTGTGGAATTTGTCTGCTGCCTCCTCTGGGAGAAATTCATTTGTGCTTTCCTGCCACACTCTTTCTTTTTGGATCTTGTGCTGGGCTGCAGTTGCTAGTTTCTTCCCTCTACCTAGTTATCTTTGGTACAGGTAGGGGCGATGGCCCAAGATGATCTAGGAAGTTGTCAGGGACCAAGGCAGCGAGCCCTTCTATGGTGGTGAAGCTACACCAGACCAGAAGCTGTGGCCCAGCATGTCTCTTGGGAGAGCTGAGAGGATAGAAGAATACCCTGCTCTCCAGGGGCCCATAAGATCCTTGAAGCAGATGAAGTTACTTTTGCAAAACACTAGAAAGTTGGGTGAAGTCAAAAGATAACAGACAGATGGGATGGAGAGGTAATTAAGAAAACAAGAGCTTGGGGAGAAGTCTGTAATAGGCCAGGGAATCAGTAAGAAGTCGAATAGCTGAGCTGGAGAGATGGCTAAGTGGTTAGGAGTGGTTGCTGCTCTTCCAGATGACTCAAATTCAGTTCCCAGCACCCGTTTGATGGCTTGCAACTGCCTTAGCTCCAGTTCTTGGGGATCTGAGGCCCCTTTCTTCCGTAGGCACCTGCACACACATGCTATACACTCATATGTAGACACATATGCACTTAAAAATAAATGTTAAAAACAAGTAGACCGTTACACACTTCTATAACACCCAGAGGTCATGAACTGTGTTACAGTGTTGGTCAGCAAGCCCCAGGATTAGACTTGCAACCTAGCTCCACTGTTTAGCACCTCTGTGATCTTGGGAAAATTGCTTAACCCCTCTGGGCCCCAGCTATAACAGAGTAGTAATAACACTTTCTCATAATATTGGGCGAGAATTAATATATTAATACATGTAAATTCCTTAGAAGAGTGTAAATTATTAAAAAGTGTTAGTTATTATTCTTTTTCCCCCTTGGATGAAGAAAAACTGCAAGGAAACAGATGATGGGGAAAATAGTCAAGAACATTTCAGTGAGTATATTCGGATTGATTTAAATCGACTTAAGGCCCTCTGTCGAAAGGACTTATTATAATGAAAACTTCCAGTCCTCATAAAGAAGCCAATTATAGCCCTGTTCTTCACCAACCCTTTAGTGACAGAATGTGAGAATGATAGGCAAAAGAAATAAAAAACCTCATTTTCCCAAAAAATACTAAGGAAGAGAGCAGTCTTGGGGCAGGGTTCCATGTCTACAAGAAGGGAAACCATCCCTGCCAAGGCCTCCATACCCCAACCTCAACCTCAGACACCAGTGCAGCCTAACAGAGGCCTAAACCATTATTAGACCAAGTCTAGCATTTTAGTAGTTTTTTTTTCTTTTTCCATTTTCATGTCTGTGTGTCCATGATTACAAGTATGTGGGCACATATATGTATGGGTATGTGCATGTGGAAGCTTGAGGATAATGTCAGGAATAACCCTCCATCGCTCTTCTTCCTCCCCTCTCTGGCCTTGCCACACCAGGGTCTTGCAGTCAAACCCAGAGTTCACAGATATGGCTAGTCTTTTAGCTCACTCACTCTGGGTATTCCCCTATCTCTCCCTACTGGGGCTGGAGTTGCTGGCGGCCACTGCATTATACATAGGTTCTGGGGTCCTAACTCTGGTTCTCTCACTTACTTGCACAGCAAGTGCTTTAACACTGAGTCATCTCCCCGGCTCTAGGTCTGACATTTTGATGGCAAGGCTTAACTACAGACCTATTGTGAGAAAGTATGAAAGAATGTGGAGGAAATGAAGGAGTAGCCTTCAGAAACCCCCTATATCTGTTTCTCTCAACAAGACTGTGGACAGGCATTACACAATAGTGTGCTCAAGGTTCTGTCCCAAAGGATGCAGGGCGAAGGTCTCCGCTGCTGCTCCTCAGAGCACCTGTACACACTCCCAGCACACTTCTCACAGTAGCAGTTTTTAAAATATTTTATTTTTATTTTATGCATGTGAGTATATTCCCTGCATGTGTGTAAGTGCACCCATGTCATGCAGTGCCTGCAGAAGTCAGAAGAAGGCATCAGATACCCTGGAACTGGAGTCACAGACAATTGTTAGCCTCCATATGGGTTCTGGGAATCAAACCCAGGTCCTTTGCAAGAGCAGCCAGTGCTCTTAGCTTCTGAGCCATCTATGCAGCCCCTACAGTAGCATTTTTAGTATAATGGGTCACTGTAAGTGACCTGAACCGGGGCCATTAAGGTTCCAGTCCCAGCTATGACTCCTAATCCTTTATAACTGCTACTGGCAGTGTCCCACGTCCAAATCCACTGTATTTAGGCTCAATTCCCACCAGATTGTTAGGCATAGTAATAGTCCTGGCTCTTGGGATCCTGTATCAGGCCACCCCTGTACATGTGAGGGTGCTCACTAAGGAGTCACTTTAGATGTCTCCTTGCCAAACTACCCTGGAAGGTTCCACAGATGTGAAGGATGACGAGTGTGGTGCTTGGTGATTGTGCATACTTGTATGTGCACATTCATGTTCATGTAGGAGGATCGAGAGAGGCAGCCCTTGGAGTCCACATGCTAGAAGCTTTGTCATCTGCATCCTGTGCCCAGAGTATCGTCCATGCACTTCTAAGTGCAGCTGTGCACTTGGCTCTGATGCTCTTTTCTATTCATTAGACCTTAAAAGTGAGGGGAGTGGACCGTACTCCCTACCTGGGGGATGTTGCTGTTGTTGTGCACCCTGGGAAAAAGGAGATGGGAACTCCGTTGGCAGACACTCCCACAAGGCCCGTCACCCGACACGGGGGCATGCGGGATCTTCATGAATCCAGCTTCAGCCTCTCTGGTAAGGGCAAGGGTGTGATGGGACCAGAGGGGAGAAAAGATTCCAGGCAGTGGGCTGTGGCCTGCATGTCCTCAGTGGGCTCCCTTCACTCATGTCTAGTGATCCACAGTGTTTGGCGTTAGAGACACATGGAGTAGGGGAAGGAGCATGGGAAGACCATGAGGCTCAGCAGCCATGACAGGCCACAGTCCACCAGAGACTCTCACCCCAGTGTCTGAGCTCAGGTGCTTTTGAGAGCCCCACACACAGGGTGCTCCAAAGACAACCAGGCTCAGATAGACCAGCCCTCCCTGCTGTTCATGGGACCACACCCCATCGTCCCAGCCTCTCCCCACTCCCCAGTCCCTGATACCTTGTTACTCACTTTCCTCACTCTGGCCTTGCCACACCACCATCACCTTTGTACTGCTTTCACCTTTTTCTGGAACCAGAAGTTAATTGCGTTACACACATTTCATTAATGTTAAGTGAAACGTTTCTCTCTTTATCTGCTTCTGACTCCCGGTTTCTCTCCCGTGTCTTTCTGTTTCCTAGGCCATGTCCTGTCCCTAGTCTGTCCTGGGTCCTTTGGTCCTGCCCCATTTCTTTTTTTTTTTTTCTGGCCCTTTTTTGAGACGGGGTCTCCCTGTAGTCCCAGCTGTCCTGGAACTCACTATGTAGACCAGGCTGGCCTTGAACTCACAGGGATCTGCCTGCCTCTGCCTCCCAAGTGTTGGGATTAAAGACGTGCACCACCACGCTCCACAGTCCTGCCCCATTCTTAATACCAATTCCTCCCAGCTACACCAACAATGAGCCTAGCTCCTCTAGCCACAGCTGTCTGGGCAGTTATTTTATGGCAGTCATATATCTCAGGTGCTCCATAGTCCTTGAATGGGGACATTGCCTCATAAATGGCAGAGATGTTCTCAATAGAAAACACACAGAGGCTGTGAGGTGTGTTGGTCCTTCTCAAGTTTGGGTTTGGGAACTGTGGTCACCACTTGAAGGGGCAGGGCCCTCATCTCACTGACCCCAGCTCAGTGGCCCTCAGGACTAGCCAGAGAGAATCCCTCGCCAAGGGCTATCTCGGGCAGGGATACTGAGAAAAACAAGACATAGATCATTGCACCCAGAGCACACTGGGTTGGGTAGGGAATGAGGCCTGAACACAAACCATCCTGGGATGAGAGTCAGAGTCTACACTGATGGCCAATGAGAACCTGTCTACTGACATCTCTTGGTGCACAGCTTTGTACTGAGAGCAGCTTGAGCCAGGAGGTGGGGGCCTGTGGAGAGGAGTCCTCCCAACACACATACCCAGATGACCACTACCATTTCCACCACTGATAGGACATGAATGCAGAGAGAGACAGACACATTTCTGTAGCACTGTTCATGTACATAGCCAGTCAGGGATGTGTGGATTCTCAGGAACGCCTGAACACAACATGGCCTGAGCAGCTAGCTCCACAAAAAGTGTTGAGATCCCAGGGCTGCGGGGCCCCGCCAACCAGCAGCCTCTTCTGCCTCAGCACATGAGCCATGACTGGGCAGTGCTTCCCTCAGTTGTAGCAGACCTCAGGCAGTCTGCCACCAGCCTGTCACCTTGCCCTTCCAGCCCCAAGTCCTGCCTATTGTAGTGGAACATGCTCACGAATGCCCCACTGTGCTCTCTGGGACACTGAGTCCTCCCTTCCGAGTCTTAGGGTTCCAAGACGTGGAGTCTTTGGTGTATGATTCTTTCAAAACAGTAAGTGTTCTCCTTTTTCCCTTTCTGATCTACCCACCACCGAGGCCTGTATATGAAGGTCTGTGTGCTCATTGGCTAATCTCTTGCAAGCACAAGAGAGACCATGTACCCTGCTCATGTGAGTAAGTGGGGCTGCTCATAAGGTAGGCTTTGAGTCAGGAAAACCTGAGTTTAAACTCGGGCTCTACCCTTTTCACTGCGTAGCATGTAACAGTGATATGTAATGTCCTTGAGCCTCAGTTTTCTCATCCATACAATGGAATGAAGTCATGAGGATGAAATGAGAGAATACTTGGGATTGGGAGAATGGCTCAGTCAGTAAAGCCATTGCCTTGCAAGCACAAGGACCTGAGTTTGATCCCCAGAACCCACATTAAAAAAGAAATGCTAGGCATGGTGACTTATTTGCAATCCCGGTGCTGGGAAGGCAGAGACAGGAGGATACCTGGAACTCACTAGCCAGCTGTCAGCCAGTCTAGCCTAACTGATGAGCTCCAGGCTTGTCTCAGAAAAGGTGAACAGTATTCCTAAAGATGACGCCCAAGGTTGTCCTCTGGCCTCCACACACACACACATTAAAAGAGAAAGGCAGGGACTGCAGAGATGGCTCAGTAGTTAAGATCACTTACTGCTCTCCAGAGGACCTGAGTTGAGTTCCCAGCACTCACATCAGGTGGCTCACAAAGTGGGTGATTCATACTGTCAGCTCCAGAGGATCTGACAGCTCTTCTGTCCTCCACAGGACCCATATACATGTGCCATACACACAAGCACAAATGCACATGCATGCAATGAGCACACACACACAAATGAAATTTAAAAATAAAAGGGGGAGAAAGAGAACTCACAGAGGGTTTAACTCAGCTCCTGCACATAGGGAGCCACAGTAGTGACCAGGGCCAGTTAACTCAGATGGGGTCAGCCCAGTTGACCCTTTGTGCTTCCTTCCCTCAGGTTCTCAAATCGATGACCATGTTCCAAAGCGGGCCTCAGCTCGGATCCTCGCACCTCCTGGAGGCAGGTCGAGTGGTATTTGGTAAAGGCACTGATCAGTGCCCCCAAGTGAGGATGCACCACTGCCACCTGCTTGCATACCCTCCGACCATAGCTGCAGGGGGCGGGAGAGGCTGGGCTGGGCAGTGCACCACCTGTGGGGGCTCCAGGAACCGAAGAACCCTCCCCTTGTCTGAAAATGATTCACGGGTCTTCGAGCCACCCCTAACAGGCACTTTGAGCTGTCCCTCCTGCTCTGTTCCTTCCTTCCTTGGCCCTGAGATTTCTCTGGGCCTGGAAGCCCACACTATGCACAGCGCCTGGTCCTGCCCCTCCTCTCACCACGGCCTCCTGTGCTGGTTCTGGGAAGGCCCAGGCTTTAGTGCCCTGCCCTGCTGCCCATCCGGCCAGGTGTCCAGAGCACTTTAGCAGATGTGTTTTATAAGTAAAGGCCTTCCTCCCAACCCCCCCCTTAGGCCTTATGGTGACATTTCCCAAATCAGACAGGTGTACGTTTCCCAGCCATACCCAAGACGTCCCATCTCTCCTGACTCACCCTTGGCCCTGTGCAGTACAAGGGACACCCTCGGTGTGGCTGTAGTTGGAACACCCTGTGCCCTTTGCCAGCTTCGTTCTACTCCCCACCCATATCCTCTGGGAGTCCCAGGCCCCAAAGAGGTAGCTGGGTGGGCATAGGGCTGGTGCCAGGTGCGTGTAAATGGTTTTGTTTTGCACGTTTGGTTTGCGCAGTGGTTTGGTTTGACTTGTTTGTGCATCCTGTGGAAAATAACGGTGCTTCGTGTCACTAGCATAGCATAGAAACAGGAATAGATGTGGTTCTTAGGAGATGCTGCACTCACCACCAACCAGACAGCACAGAGAGAGATGAGGTGGGGGGGGTGGCTGGCCCAGTAGGCCCCAGTCCCTTAACCCAGGGACCTGTTTCCTACATTCTGATGGGCTTGGATGCAGACTCTTGAGATCCTCAGGCAGTAAGGGGGCCCCTCTCATCTCTGTCTGTGGTCACTCCCAGCACTAACCCCACACCCTCATACCCACCCACCCCCAGCTTCCTGTGACTTCCTCCTGCTGGACAAGGTCTGACTACTCCTCCTGTGTGACTGGCAAGAGGCCTCATGCCTGCCTGCTGAGAAAGGGGGAGTGGGAGAGGGTTCAACCAGACAGACATACAGACACCAGGGAAGGAGACTTAAGCCCACAGGACCTAGCTGCAGAGTCCACCTCGCTGGACAAGCGCTGTGGTATCCTGCACTCAATACCATGTTCTCATGACTGCTGGTCTCTCCAGTGACCAGTTCGGCCCTCCCTGCCTCAGAAGCTCCTCAGAGGTTCCCATGGGTGGCTACATGATCTAGGAAGTGGCCCAGCTGTCAGTCCTTGACAAGCCTCATTTCCCTGCCCCTTTGGCAAGTAATCTTTTGTTTAGCACCCTAAGCTTGCAGGAGGCCCCTGGAATCTTGGTATTCGTATCCTGCACATGTCTATAGTGCTGGTTGTACATCAGAGCATTTATAAGTTCTCACTTGCTCCTCACAACATGTTGCTCTCTACAACTTACAGATAAAGAAACTGAGACCTGAAAAATATGGGTCCTCTGGCCCCAGACGTGTTCCCTTATGGCCTTGGTTGTCTAGCCTAGATGTGGAAAAGAGAGGTGGAATAATATCAATACCACCAGGAGTTTAACCATGTAGAACACTTTCTCCCTAGTAACATTCTGCCTTGCTTTGCACAAGTCAGTTTTATCTTTGTTGTGAACAGACTAATGCATACTCTTGGTTTCAGCCTGAGTTAGAAAAATGTTGGGGACTTGTCATGCAGGTTGAGCTGCACCCCATCCTCCCTTCACCCCCATTGTCCTGAGGAGCTGAAAGGATAAAGATGATAACCAAGGGAGCTGAGAAAGCCATGGGAACAGGAGATAGGGACCCTGGGAAAGCCCCCATGGATAACAGAAGGGATGACACTGACTCCTGGTATAGTATACATCATCTCCTCTTCTTCCTAGACCTCTTCTTTTTTTTCTTTCTTTGACAGGATCTTGCTATTGTAGCCCAGGCAGCCTTGAACTCACAGTGATCCTCCTGCCTCAGCCTACCAAGTGCTGGGATTACAAGCATCAGCCACCACACCTGGCTACACATCATCTTTGTTTATTTCTACCCTTACTGGGTCATGGGTGTTGGGCAGATACCAAAGAGCCAAATAGTGGTGGGGCTGGCTTGGCAGGGTGCCTTGCTTGAGCTAGGAAAGCTTTACTTTGTCTGCGTGCCTCCACCTGAGATGCATGACCCAGCGTGCTGGGAGATCACATATTCCAGGGGCCACTGTAGGCCTTCCCCTTCATCCACCCCCACCCTTCCATAGACCTTGTGCTCACCCAGGAGCTTCTAGATGGAAATCAGAAGGAGGCTCAAGGAGCCAAACAAATGGTCACCCCCCCCACTGTCCACTCCCTGCCCCGTGTAGAGCTCCAGCCAACTCCATCACCAGCTCAGTGACTGCTGACTGGAACAAAAAGGCTCTCTGGTTGCACCGAATGCGGCTCTCAAACTGGTCTTGTACTTGCTGAATAAATACTGTTGTTCTTGCCTTAGCTGCTCTCTAGGTTTGTGGGGTTAACTTACCAGAAAATTGTGCTACTGTGTGTGTGTGCGTGCGTGTGCGTGTGCGTGTGTGTAGTGCTAGGAATCCACAGTAGGTCTCTTGTCAAGCCAATTCCGTGATGAGGACTTCTTTCATACTGACCCAGAAGCCACAGAACCACACGGAAGCCAAACCCCTCCAGCTGCTGCGGTGGCAGGCACAGCCTGGGGTTGGGATGGAGCTGTCAGCACCCCAGCACCCAAGTGACTTCCTCACTCTTGTAAATGTCATGGTGCTAAGATTGTGTCAACCCCAAGATGACACACGGTCCTATGCTTTGGCCACCAGTTGAGGCAAAAACCAAACAGCCCAACACGTTGTGTTCTGGTGCAGGTTTGTATTAAACTGTAGCTGCTTCTCACTTGGCCTCTGTTGTGTTTATTCAAGAAGAGGGAGCCTGGCAGAGGGCCCCTTCTACAGTGGCTAGGTGACATTTCCATTGCTAAGAAAACAATCTTGATCCTTCACCCTGATCCAGTGGGAGCTCACTGGGAGGTCTAGGCAGAGTCTGGAGGTTTAAAAAAAATTTTTTTTTTTGGTCTTTTTGAAACAGGGTCTCCCTGTAGCCCCAGCTGTCCTGGAACTCACTATGTAGACCAGGCTGGCCTTGAACTCAACAGAGATCTGCCCACATCTGCCTCCAAGTGCTGGGATTAAAGGTGTGCACCACCATGCCCGGCTTAAAGTTTTTTTTAAGTTTTTTTTAAGGATCAGCCCTCTCTGAGAACCCAGAGATTCTTGTCCTAAAAGCAGGGTTTTGGTGCTGGATTTCTGGGGACAGTTGGTAGGTTAAATAGGAAAAAATCAGGGAAGGCATTAGAAGCAAAAGGGGAAAGATTTAGACTTCCCCACATATTCTTTGACACTTTTTCTCTTAGTTAGTTCTTTTAGTAACCATTTTACCATTGAAGGGAAGCTCACAGTCCTTTCTCCATTCATCAGAAACTGGTGGACCCATAGCCTCATAAAATCCCATGGAAAGCAGGCATGGTGGTGCACACCATTAATCCCAGTACTCAAGAGGCAAAGACAGATAGGTTTGAGGTTATCCTGGTCTACATAATTCCAGGCCAGCCAGGACTACATAATGAGACCCAGTTGCAAAAAAAGAATAAAGTCACATGACAAATGTCCCAAGGCCCTAGTGTGTCTTTGAAGGGCCTTAAAAGTCTGCTCTGAATTTCTAGAACCCCACTTTTGAAACTGGGCCCTGGCCCCTCAAAATCCATTGCAATATATTCCTCCACCTTTAGTGTGATTAAATTCACACTAAAGAATGAAAGACTTGCTATAGTCCTAGCACTTGGAAGGTTGAGGCAGGGGGATCATGAGTTTGAGGCCAGCCTGGGATACATATATTTAGTGAAACCCTGCTTCAAACAGACAAAAAGTGGGTAGATTACTGCTTCTGGTACTGTGTGTTGAACTTGCACTTATTTTTTTCTACAATGTTTTTATTGGGTTTTTGTGTATTTCATACAGAACATCTCAAACAATCTTTTAAGCCCCAAAGAAAGAATGGAGAAATTCTAGGTAGTGGGAAAAATCTATACAACACACTGGGGAGCATATTAGATTTTTGGTTAACTATCCAAAATCCATAGTAAATCTATGGATAAAAATTGTAAAAGCCATGGCAATCCATGTGCATGGCATGGGGCAGCATACAGGAAAAATAACGAACTTGGGAAGACTCTTGAATACCTTAACATATGCATAGTTGGAAAAAGACCGAATTGAAAATAAGGCTGGATCGTATGGGAGAGTCTATATTTGGAGAAACCATCCAGTCATCAGCTAAGCAGCATCAGCCTTGATTTCTTAAGTTGTGATTCCAGGTTAATTCATACACAAGTATAAGTGACACTAAGATCTGTGGGAAGGGGCTCAAGGACACCCCAAGTATGAAGAAGACATGACATTCTACCAGGAAAGGTAGACATTATAGTCCTAATTAATACAAGGCTGGTTTCTTTTTGAGACATGATCTCACTGTGTAACAATTGTTGGGCCCAAACTCACAGAGATCCACTTGCCTCTGCCTTCAGAGTGCTGGGGTTAAAGGCGTTTGGCACCACATCTGGCAATGATAGACTTTCATACACTATTGCCAATAAGCAACACCAGGCTTAAGACTAACTATGCTGAATGCTTGGTTTCAAAAGCATCTCCACAATGTTTAAATTTACAGGAATTTACTCATTTTCCAGATAGTCACAGAAATGTATTGAATATTTAACTCGAAATGCAAATTTTTCACATTTTTTACTAAAAGTCTCAAGTCACTTTAAGACTGCCATTTCTGTGTGTCTCCCCCGACCCCATTGGACACATTACAGGAATTGAAGCCCTCCAAGCCCCTTTAAGGGGAAAACTTCCTCTAAATCCAGTGTCACCTCACTGAAAACTTGCACACAATTCTCCATGCCTGTTTCATCATCTAACCAGTGCCTTTTCAGTTACTGGAATTATTTTATTATTATTACTATTAAAGTTAGTTGCATTTCATTCAGAATATCTCAGACAATTTGAATCATCTTTATAGCTCTGTCTCCACCAGACCCCTCCCATGCCCCCCCACTGGAACCATATACTCTGTCCTGGGTGTTAAGGCCCACTGCATCATGTCAGTGTCCCCAGATGTTCCCCAGTGCAAGTCCATCCACTTGCAGTCTAGTCAGATCCCTCTATCTATCCAAACACCTATCAGAGGATAGGGTGGGGGTTTATTTACAGAGGAGTGGGCACCCCCCATTTATGGCTGCACTGGAAAGTCCACACTCCAGTATAGATTGTGACTTCCTGACAGCCGCAGAAAATGAGAGGTGCCTCCTGGCATTCTCAGCATATATATCCTTAGCCCCTCCCCCACATGCAGCTAAGGTCGACTGATTGGGTGGGAGGGGTAACCGACTCCCTCTTCGACTCCTTGATGAGTGTGGAAAGGAGGTGTGACTATAGCTTGCCAGCATAGTGGTCAGAGTACACTTCCAGTTAACATTCCACCCCTTCCTCGGGCTCTTACATTCTGCCAGCCTCTCCCACAAAAGTCCCTGAGCCTTGGAGGGGGTAGTAGGTGTGGGATGATCTTCCTCCTATTGTGGCAAGGGACTGAACTTTCATGTCTCTGCATGGTCAGTTTCCCATGGGCTTTTGGCCCATTTCAGTGTGATTCCATCTACTATAAAAACAAACAGCAAGAAGCAAGAACATCTAAACAGCAGCTGCTATAATAACTTAACCTATGAGTGTAAACACAAATGCTTACTAGGTACTTTAGCAGGTGCATCACATCCATCTAACAAAACAACTGCAGTGGCTTCCCACTGGGGCCTGTATTCTCCCCTGCTGCAGGGGGTTGGTCTGGTCTACAGTACCAGATGTGTGCTCTACCCCTAGCAGTGGGCATTATATCCAATTGAAAATTTGTTAATTGTACACACACCAGAGGCTCCATTCCACTATTGCACCAACAGCAACTTCTTGTTTGGTATGTTGATAGTGCAACGTGCAGGGTCCATTGTTGACCAGAATTATCGAGGACAATTCTCCACTGGTCAACTGCGTATTGCCTTTTGGCACCATGAAAGCCACCCATCCAGTGGCAGGGAGTTTCCAGCTTAGTCCAAGCTTGATTTCTCCCTCTCCTGTGCTCACATCTTGATCATAAACTGTCCTCAAGTTTGGCAGTGTTGGCTACCCTCCCTTTTGATAGTTTCCAGCAACACCACTATGCAACCTTTCAAAGCAATGAAAGATTAATTTCAGATTTCTCAAGAAAGGCTTTGACCCCTTCACTGCTAAGGGAAAAGAAGCTACTGGAAAACTGGAGAGAACCAGGAGTTTGGGTCCTGTAAGACAGGCCACTTCAGTGGCAGCACTGCTCTTACGAGCAGTTGGTCATCTGACAAAACTCCTGGTGTCACAGAAGAAAAACTTGAGGCCTCATCAAGGGTATCTTAGGAAGATGCTATGTGGAAACTCCTGAGGTTTGTTGGATGTTCAACAGCCAGGTCTCCATGGGTAAACCATCCATAATGTAGCCTAGTAATGTCTTTTCAAAGTGAGGAGTTTTGACCTTGTGCCTCAGGAACACTTGATGCCTGCACTGTGGTTTTGAAACTCCTGAGTATTGGTATGGAATTTGCCTTTCATTTGTAAGTCTCAATTCTTGAGATACTACACCCTCATCTGGTATTATGGTCACAAGAACTGATGTCCTATTCCATTTTTAAAGCAAATTCAGTACTTTGGGGATGATAACAATTTAGCATGATCTGAGCAAAATGGAATTCTCTTCCAGACTCTTGAGCTGAAATGGCCCATGAACCCATTCAGCCCATCAGCTCTCAGCCAAGGGCAGTTTTGTCTTCTGGAAGACTTAGTGGGTAGTATTTGTACATACATTTTTGTTGTCACAACTTATGGGAATAGGGCTCCTGGAATCTAGTGGACAGAGGTACAGAGTGCTGCAAAACAGCCTACTCGGGATGTGCTCAGGGCAGCTGCCACAATTATCCAATCCGAAGTGTCAATAACTGAGCTGGAGAAACTGGTCTGGCTTGAGGATGAAATAATTGCTTTAAAAAATTATATAAGAAAAATCTAAGCGGTAGGGAAAAGGAGCTAAGTTTACAATGCTACCTTATATGGCAAAACACTGAACTAAACACATGATGAACGGATCCACAGCATCCCAATAGCAGTGGAAAGTAGGACCCCAATGGGTCCTACCAAGTTTTTTCCCATGGCTTCACCTGGCGATCCTCTGCTATCAGGATCAGGAACCATGTTGCACAAGATCTTGCCATGACCACAGTACAACGCTGTTGGGGGGGGGGAAGACCCCCCAGGTGCAGAATCTACAAAGCTCCAAACACAGAAGGAGGTGAAATGGCAAATGGCCCCTTGATGACTGTCACATCTCAGTTCCTTAACTATTAAAAGTAC